CAGGGTACTAGTTTTTCTCATTGTTGGAGATTGTACGGTGACAGTAACACCTGTAACTGCTTAAACCCATTTCTTATGCACTTTAGTTTGATAAACTCACTGAATATCATACCACATCTCCTTATTTTTATATGCATTACAATTTACATGTGCATGTAATTGTAAATATATATATATCAGAACAAAATTCATTGCGTCACTTTTATTTATGCATCCTTTGGCACAATACAAGTTCTAAAATTACACAACATACAACAACTAAATGTTATTTCAGATGAAAGTTTTGTTTCAGTTTCATTCATAGGATTTATTAAAATTTTGTATGTTTTGCCAAGTCCAATAATTCGCTCTATGTGACATAGAGACATAGTTGACTAAACCACCAGGTGTCGAACATTCAAGAATTTTCAGTGTTTCTGTTTTTATTTGATGAAAAGGTTGCCTGAGCTCTAGGAGCTTTAGGTTTTATCACGGGATATTCTGTGCTGTCAATAATAATCCAAGTCGTAGGAAACTTTAATTTGAAGTTGGATGGTGAAAAATACCTGACTAAACCACTAGATGGCCAAGTGTTAGCCTCACACCACTGTTTAGACATAAAAATAATCCATGTATACACAATATTCTTAACACTAGATTCAATCTAGAATCTAGACAGTTCAAAGTTGGTTGTATGATGCCTCAATTTCATCAAAGTCATAAAAAAACTGATTTTCAACTGACACCCTATCAATTTGAAAATATATGTATCTCAAACAATGTGCTGCTGGACCAAGTGTGGTCAAAACAAATAAAAATTTAGTATACAACTCTAAACCGGTATAAAAATGCATGGCTGTGTCACGTGTCTTCATTTCAAAATTCTCTGCTGAAAACATAGGCATTGATGGTGTTTGCGTAATTCCATCTGTGAAGCTCAACATTAGCTCGGCAGTTGGTGGTGGACAGTCATAAATCCTTTCTGCAGTACGAATGACTTCTTCAGGAAAACCAACTTTACAATCAAAACTTTCCTCTAGATTTCTACTACAATATTCATCAAGTTTAGTTCTTTTGTTTTCACAGGAAACTGCCCTGATTTTTCTTTTTGCGGACGATTCAGTCTCTTGCTTGGTCCAGGAAAATAGGCTGGGAATTGCAGTAGACTTAAGTCTCTGTATGGTGGGTTTGCGCCCTGAAAAAGGTTATAAAACATTAGATTTTTTATAATTAAATGAACTTCCATTAGCAATGTATACTTTGTACTACCTGGCGAAATATTAACTAGATTTATTCATTACAATCTGGATAAAACTATGTTTGCCTGATTCAATGTATGTTATGTAAATCCAAAGGACAAACAATGAGAGACTTATGCAACAAACGTACATTGTTTGTACCTAAATAACTATAATATAGATGAGAGCATGTCATTGTTTTGTTCCTGTTAACATTGTCATTGATATTTTTCAAGAAAGTCTATGAGGCATAGCTTATGCATTCCTGTCATTACTACATTAGCATAATTACTGCTAAAATAATTCTCAGTATGATATACCTCTTGTAAGAAATCATTATAATTGTAGCAATCACCAAAAAATCTCAAACAGATCACATTGAATCGTAATCCAAAAAATTATGACGTCTTGAAATACCCACCCCCTTTTATTCTAAAACGATAATTGCGGTTGTAAACAGACTTTGGTTTATTCGCATGGAGATTACATATATAACTATATATTTCACAAAGAAAATAGAGTTTTACCATGAATAGTTTCCTGCACGTAGTCTTTTTCAGTAAAACGTGCCTTGCAAACAACAGCTGATTGAGATGGACTCCACGATATCATCGTGTTCTCGTCCAATCTGCGTATGGGCCATGGCGTTGATCCAACTTTTCCTTCTTTTTAAGTCATTTGGAAATGCATGTCCTCCTCTTAAATGACATCCAGGTACACAACAACAAGTACTTGGCATCGTTAATTAAAAATATAACTGAAATAGTTGCACAGTGCAGAAACCGGAAGAAGAGGCACAGGATCCGCTACCACGGCGCCACCTATTCAGGAACGATAATTTGCTACTTTATATAACTGCGAAAATAACGTTAGACGGGTTCACGTGCATAAACAGAAATGCGCTTTAAATTGTATAATATAATTCATGTTCAGTCGACCTTTAATTATTATATCAACGACTGAAATGATTTATAAACATCTAGATTGCAGATAACACTCGAAATTAACCCGAGCTCTTTCCACACGGAATTCAAATAATTCTAGTTTGTCAATCGGTTGACTGCTTATAATGCAAAATACTAATATATCAAAAGTTTTTAAAACTAACAAAACACAATGATCGTTTCTCTATTTCCCAATGTAAATGAAATGAAACAAAAAACATTTTATATCGCAATAAGAAGAGGAGAGAATTCAACATTTCCGGATCTACTTGGAGTCTAATGACCCCCCACGTAGATAAGTTGGATATCGCGGAAGGAAGGATTAACCCGGCAACTAGAAAGGCATTAAAGCACTGCCTTTAAAAATCTAAATACATGGTTAGATTCAGCATATCAAAGAACCCCATATATTCAATTTTTGTTGAAATCAAACAAAGTTTAATTTTGGACCCTTTTGACCTCAATATGAACCAATTTGATAGCAGGGTCCACAAATAAAAAATCTAAATACATGGTTAGATTCAGCATATCAAAGAACCCCATATATTCAATTTTTGTTGAAATCAAACAAAGTTTAATTTTGGACCCCAATTTGGACCAACTTGAAAACTGGGCCACAAATAAAAAATCTAAATACATGGTTAGATTCAGCATATCAAAGAACCCCATATATTCAATTGTTGTTGAAATCAAACAAAGTTTAATTTTGGACCCCAATTTGGACCAACTTGAAAACTGGGCCAAAAATCAAAAATCTAAATACATGATGAGATTCAGCATATCAAAGAACCCCATATATTCAATTTTTGTTAAAATCAAACAAAGTTTAATTTTGGACCCTTTGGACCTTAATGTAGACCAATTTGAAAACTGGACCCAAAATTAAAAATCTAAATACACGGTTAGATTCGGCATAACAAATAAATAAATGTGGTCAAAGATTTTACAAATATAATGCGCCATACTGTCCAATTAAAGATTACTTCTTGAAATTTTTCAATATTTGAAATTTGAAAAAAAAATAAAATTTGAAGAATAATTCTTTTTAATTTCTGAAATCTGAAATGAGAAAAAATTGACCCCCCACAATTTCTTTAAACCCCCCCCCCCCTTTTTTTCCCCAAAAAATTCTTTCCCTCAAGATATGGTCATAATCTCAATTCAAATTTCCAATGGAGTTTGCAACCATAATTACCCATTTAAATTTACCATAGTGCTAACTTAATCTATTTTATAATAGAATTTAAAATATAGTGTCAAATCTTTCATATGGATTTTGTTGTAAAAAAAAAAGATGCAACATTTGCAGATATTTTTACTGGTCTTCCTTTATAAATATGCATTTCTTTAAACACAATTTAAAAGCAGTGTAAGGGAAGTAACCAAAACGTTGTATTTGGATTACCTCCCTTACACTGTTTTAAATTATCTTAATTGTTCATTAACCATTACTTTATACATAATTTAAAAGCAGTGTAAGGGAGATAATTTCAATGATGTATTTGATTTATCTCCCTTACACTGCTTTAAATTATGTTTTGTACTAAAGTATTTGTCCATTAACCAGGACAACCTTGTTTTTCCCCCTTTTTTGCCCCTAATTCTTAAACGGTTTGAGCCATAACCCCCCAAAGCAAATCCTAACCATCCCTTTGTGATATGGAAACTTGTAGTATAATTTCAGAGAGATCCATACACCTTTCCACAGTTACTGTCTGGAAACTAGAAAATGCTTATTTTTGGCCCCTTTTTGGCCCCTAATTCCTTAACTGTTGGTACCATAACCCCCAAAATCAATCCCCACCTTCCTTTTGTGGTATTGAACCTTATGGTAAAATTTCATAGAGATCCATTCACTTAAACTAAAGTTAGAGTGCGAAAACTAATGCGTATTCGGACGACGACGCCGGACGACAACGACGACGACGACGACGCCGACGCCAACGTCATACCAATATACGACCACAAAAATTTTTTTGCGGTCGTATAAAAATTACTTGATATTTAGAAGAAAATAAAATTTTTGCAATTTTTCCATTTATAAAGTGGCATAACTCTAGAACGATTAAAGTGTCGCAACCAAAATTCATACTTGATCTGTGTTTTGTGGTAATAAGTATTGTGTATAGGTTTCATAACATTTGGTTGAGGCAAACTTAAGTTAGAGAACGGAAACTAAAAATTTTGCAATTTTTCCATTTATAAAGGGGCAGAACTCTAGAACGGTTAAAGTGACGCCACCAAAATTCATACTTGATCTGTCTTTCGTGGTAATAAGTATTGTGTATAAGTTTCATAACATTTGGTTGAGGCAAACTTAAGTTAGAGAACGGAAACTAAAAATTTTGCAATTTTTCCATTTTTAAAGGGGCATAACTCTAGAACGGTTAAAGTGATGCCACCAAAATTCAAACTTGATCTGTGTTTTGTGGTAATAAGCATTGTGTATAATTTCATAACATTTGGTTGAGGCAAACTCAAGTTAAAGAACGGAAACCAATTTTGGGACGTACGGACGGACAAGGGTAAAACTTAATCCCCCCACCGCTACGGCAGGGGCATAAAAACTGCAAATTAAGTGCTATTTTCCAGCTTAAGAAATTCCTTCTTTATCATTTGAAGTTGTGTCATACATATTTATGTACTGTATGTCTTATTCTTTTAACATTTGAAGTTGCATCATACAAATTCATCTATGATATTTTCTTATTATTTTATCATTTGAAGTGATGTCCTATAAATTCAGCTATGATACATTCTTATTCTTTTATCATTTGTAGTTGTGTCAAGTAAATTTATCTACTGTATGTTCTTATTCTTATGTAAAAAAGTAACCAACCATCTCCGTAATGATACTCTGCATCTTCATTTTCATAAAAATGAGGATCTTCATCTGGATAATCATTCCTCCAGTTGTCTTCGTCATTACTGTCATCTTCATCCTCATATATTTCTTCATTTGTAAAATTTCTGTCATCAGCAAATATCAGTTCATCATCATATAATTGAATTTTTAAGTCACTTTCTAAAGCTTTGAAATTAAATTCTTGGTTATTTGTATAGTACAAATCATAAACATAATCTTCTTCCTGTTGTGAGACTGTCTGTTTGACAAGAGGTACAGAATTACATGTTATGTTATCGGCTGACTGAGATTCCTACAATATAAACAGTAAACAACTAAAATTATACTATCATAATAAAATCATTTTCAAATCCATTAGTTTTGGTGAAGGAGAAAGTTTAAGTTAGTAAAACAAGTAAGGAAATTGAATGTTTATAAGACTTCAGATTCTCAGGGGTTGACAATCATTTCTAAAGCCTGATGTAGGGTTGGCAATACTCCCAGAAATGTGTTATACCAGGCAATGTGACTTTTTAAAGCTTATTCTTACAAAAAATAGTAAAGAAAGAAGGCAGTTTCATTGTATAATTGCAAAATTTATACATTTATACAGAGTTCAAAGTCATTTTCAAAAAATAAAAAAAACCAAATTCTTCCTTTTCTACAATTATTCTGACTGCTGATTGGTCACCTCTCCCACAGGGCACCAATCAAAATTCAGGATACTTGAAGAGTTTTTAGTGTTAGGACTTCATACCCTTGCAAGTCAATGTAAGTAAGAGATAAATTACGGAGAGGGACTGAATTATTCTGGTTATGCCATAATATGAATGATTTTTTTTACAGTACCCGGTATACAAAAAAATTTCACTTACTTTCAATAATGATTCAAAGGTTGGCATCTGTGATGGTTGATCTATTTCAACATCTAATAGTTGGTACACTTTTTCATTAGTATTTGCAGCACCCTTATCATCATTAACATTTGAATCACTACTGTGTGCCCCATTACAAGTTCTTGTTTTGTTACAATGGTCACCTTCATTTGAATCATTAGCACATGCTCCATTATGCATTTTTGTTTTGGTACCTCCATTTGTCTCTTCACTAGATAGTTCACCGTTTGATAATCTATTAGTTTTAGCATTTTCACTATGTGTCAATTTCTTACTGTCAGAATTGCATATTTCTTCATCATTTTTATCAAGTCTGTCTAATTCAATATTACGTAAAGATGATATGATTTTTATTCTACTATTTTGTGAAGACTGTTTTTGTCTTTGGCGATTTTTTGATGTAATATTGACAGTGTGCTGTTTATATTCTTTTTGAAGTTTTTCTTTTCTTATAGCATCTCTTATTTGTCTGGAAACACCTTCAACCTGTAATACAAATACATTTATATATTTCTATAAAAAAATACGTTTGTACATGTACAAACATAAGCGACATGACAAGATTATGATATACTACAATAATGCTTCGCCGAGCGCAGAGGTCCAACCCTGAACAGTTGGGGCAAAAATGGACGCAATATTCGCGCTTGATACAGGTCTGAACTTGGATTGTTATTAAATATTTGACACATAAAAGGTTTCTGACACAGAATAACTGTCGTCAAAGAACTTTGCAAAAAAAATAATATTTGAAGAATTTTTCTTTTTAATTTCTGAAATGAGAAAAAATTGACCCCCCACAATTTCTATTACCCCCCAAAAAATTCTTTCTCTCAAGATATGGTCATAATCTCAATTCAAATTTCCAATGGAGTTTGCAACCATAATTACCCATTTAAATTTACCATAGTGCTAACTTAATCTATTTTATAATAGAATTTAAAATATGGTGTCAAATCTTTCATATAGATTTTTTTGTAAAAATTAAAAAGATGCAACATTTGTAGTTATTTTTACTGGTCTTCCTTTATAAATATGCATTTCTTTAAACATAATTTAAAAGCAGTGTAAGGGAGGTAATTAAAACGTTGTATTTGGATTACCTCCCTTACACTGCTTTAAATTATGTTTTGTACTAAAGTATTTGATCATTAACCAGGACACCCTTGTTTTCCCCCTTTTTTGCCCCTAATTCCTAAACGGTTTGAGCCATAACCCCCCAAAGCAAATCCTCACTATCCCTTTGTGGTATGGAAACTTGTGGTATAATTTCAGAGAGATCCATACAACGTTCCACAAGTTATTGTCTGGAAACTAGAAAAATGCTTATTTTTGGCCCCTAATTCCTTAACTGTTGGTACCATAACCCCCCAGAATCAATCCCAACCTTCCTTTTGTGGTATTGAACCTTATGGTAAAATTTCATAGAGATCCATTCACTTAAACTAAAGTTATTGTGCGAAAACCAATGTGTCTTCGGACAACAACAACGACACCAACGTCATACCAATATATGACCGCAAAAATTTTAGCTTAGTGATTATAAACCTTGTTTTAAAATTTTTACAGTCGTATAAAAATTTGGAAGAAAAAAAATATAAACCCCCAAAAGAAATCCCCCCCAAACTTTTTGAACCCCCACCCCCCCAGATTAATTACCCCCAAACTCAATCCCAGCCTTCCCTTTGTGGTATGGAACCTTGTAGTACAATTTTAGAGAGATCCATACACTTAAACACAAGTTAATGTTTTGAAACTAGAAAAATGCTTGTTTTTGGACACTTTTTTGCCCCTTATTCCTGAACGTTGTATGCAATCACCCCTAAAATCAATCCCAGCCTTCCCTTCAATTTGTGATATGGAACCTTATGGTACAATTTCATAGAGATCCATACACTTAAACTAAAGTTATTGTCCAGAAACCAAATGTGTCTTCAGACGACGACGCTGACAGCGTTGACATGATAGCATATAAGAACACAAAAAAAATTTTGCGGTTGAATAAAAATAGAACATAGGGCTCAAATGAAGTTTTTGGCTTTCATCTCAAAAACTAAAGCAGTAAGAGCAAAACTGACATAGGTGAAAGTGTTAAACAGGTTTAATTCTTAATCATCTACCTGTCAAGTAATCTTCAGACCAATAGGACAACTTCTTGTTGGGTTACTGTCCAGAAATAGCTAATTTTTAGGAATTTTACAGTTTTGTGTTATGTATTATCTTTAATATTATTATAGAAAGAGAGAAAGTGTAAATGACAAAATTGTTCAGCAAAGTAAGATCTACAAAAAAGTCAAATGCCTGAAACTGAAATTATAGGTGAGCAATATCAGGCTCTCATGAGCCTCTTGTTCCAAATTGCTCTGCCTCTGCTCAAGTTCTAAATATAATGCAGTAAATATGTGATTTCATTTTCAGCTAATCTATGTGTCTGTGTCTACATATTATAGATCACATATTTTGCTACAACAAGTGTTATTTACATGTAAGAGCATTTGCAATATTGTTTCTCTTTGATAGACAAGTAAAAAATGTAAATTATTGAAATCAAAAGATATTTGCCACTATGAACATGTCTTGTAAATATCTCTAGCCATAATACCTATATTGCAAAATAAAAGTATATACGCTTTTAAACTGCTTGTAATCCATAATAAAAGGCCCATTGGTCTTTCATCTCTAAAGACAAAATGCCCATGTGTTTAACTCAAGACCTGGTTTTACATTTTCGGTTTGTGTTTCTAATATTTCGCAAACAGTATTTGAGCAATTTGTTTTAGTTGTACAACTATTATAACTGTAAGCTCACACTTGTAAACCTATCAAACAGGCCAGGTACAACCTAATAGGGAATATTTCCAAATATAATTTATTTTTTTCAGTGTAACTTTTTTTATTTAATTTTAAATCCACATCATATACTTGAAATGGCACATATATGTGAAAATAGCAGTAACTTTTTCTGAGAGATGAAAAAGCTAAAATTGACATACTAAGAAGTCACAAGTCTAGCTACAAATGTATGAAAACTTCTGGAAATTTACATTTTTCAAGTCATGCAACTTTCTTAAAACTGAAAATAAAGATATAGCTATAATAATGAAAAATATTGTTGAATTTTCTATAAACTTACGCCTTTTAATGTATGTTAAGTAATTTTTTTTATCGTTTTTAACACTTTGAAAATGTCTTTCATTTGAGGGATACATGAACACTGTATTTATTTATTTAGGAGCTCTGTTCCCCATTTTACAGGTTATACAGATTCATATATTTTGATCATATTACAATTACTTGCAGCCTTCACGCTTAACTTTTGAGTCCACAAGCCAGACGCTCAATATTTTGAAAATTTTAGTTGGATTCTGTTGGCTTGTAGAGAATTTTACAAGCCCGAAAGCACTTTTACAAGCCATGGCCGTAGGACTTGTGGTTAAGCGTGAAGACTGTACTTGATTCCTTTACTTTAGATAAAACAATAATCTATCAAATAAAAACTTATTACGTTATACTTTAACATCAACCTTTTTTATCATATTTGATAATTATGATTGTGATAATTCTGCTCTCTCTGGTCACAGAGATTGGCAATAATATATTTGTTGTTGTTTACAACTTGTTGCTGCTAATTTCGGAAAATAAGCTGTCTCTAGGTAATTACAATCAAAAGCAAAAATTTCTTTCACTAAACAAGTTGAAGGAATGGCCATATGGAAAAAAAAGTTTCCAGTCAGCTTAGACCTTTTTTGCCATGTGTATTTCAACAATTTGGGAATCTATGACACTTACACAGAGATTTGGCGACAACTAACCAATTGATGTCATACAACAATCACTTTTGCATTGTAGAATCAGTTCTTTTCTGTTTATATATATATGTCAAAATTTTAATTGAAAGGTTTTTAATGCCAGGTAGTGGTATAGTAGACAAAGAGCATTAAGGTGTATAATTTGTAAGGAACAGGGGTGTAATTTGGTTGATTTCTTTGAAAACTGGTGGTTATCGTGGGTCAATATATAGAAATCTGTTTGATGCATAGATAATACATGGTATTGACAGGGTAAATCGTAGTGATATCACTATCAAAACACTCTTTAGCACAACATAAATAACTTAATAACTGTAAAGAGTTATTTTTAATAAAATTTGTCTCCCCCTTTTTTAGTCACCTTTGAAGCAACAGTTCCTGCGAATTTCAGGGAACTTTGGGGTTCGTTTTCCAACGAATTTGCTTGGGGATGATTTTCTTCTTTTTTCCTTTTACATGAAATGACAATCGATTCCAAGGGATCTTCGTTTCTTCTACGTTTCACACGGACGATAGTTGCCATTCCGAGTTGTGAAAATTTACAGTGTTAATCTCTACATCAACTGATTAGAAAAAAATGACACTAAGTGTATTCGGTTTATATAAAGGCTACATTTAAACATACAAATATATATTATTTGTTTATATATTCGAATAAAATATATTCTAAAAGAGGATTTAACAAAGAAAAATATCAGTATTTGGAGACTATTTGCAGACAGCCAAGATGGCAGCCTCCATTCGGCATGTCAGGGAAATCAAGAAACTTTTGAGCAAATCTTCATGTCTACAAAAATCTATAAGCAAAGAATTCGAAATTATTAATGTACGTCATGAGTTGTCAATCGCTTATCTATATCTCTGCATGCTGATGATTAAAAATGTCCCAAATTATATCTTGGATGTAAGGGTGCTTGTCCTTGAGTCTTTTGAAGCATGGAAGGTTATATAAGGGGCGCAAGAAAGTTTGTTTCTCAAATTCCAAGCATTTCAGTGTACCCAAATGGTTTTTAGTTGGTTTACAACTTTTAATCAGTTATGTGGAGGTCATCATATTTACTAGTCCGAGATTACTCTGACGTCCAACGGCTGTTTTGCCAGACAAGCTGGGGCCGTGGGACGTCAGAGCTCCTCCCATATCAAAAAGTGGATATTTGCCCGTCCAAAATAGATGCGCTGCTTCGTCGCTTCTGGTGCCAACGGACGGCCTTGGAATTATATAAATCGGGTATCAATTTGTTCATTTTTCATTTATCTCTTCATTTATGTAAGTTTCACCTACCTGCCACCCTTTATTTTTTCATATTTAGACAGTTTTCACAGTGACCCATCGATTCAGACATTTTTACTTTTATTTTCAAATGGACGTCAAGTTACGAGAGATTTTGCGACCTCGAGACTCAAATACGCAAATATTTATACTTTTTTCACCTCCTTTATAGAAAATCGATATTTAACATTTAGTAGCCAACCACGATTTTCCACCTCCTTTACAGGAGATCGGTATTAAGCATTTAGTGCCAACCACGATAACATTCGGAAGCTCTCGGATATTTACATTGCTTGCATCGTAAATGAGCGAGGTGTTAGATTATATATTCCTATTGACCTAGGGTCATATGCATACACCATTTCCCATAGTCCATTGTGCCTTACTTTTTTCTCGTGATCACATGACAATCTTTCAAAATGAAAGTCAAAATGCCAGAATCGGTGGGTCACTGTGAAAACTGTCTAAATATGAGAAAATAAAGGGTGGCAGGTAGGTGAAACTTACATAAATGAAGAGATAAATGAAAAATGAACAAATTGCTACCCGATTTATATAATTCCAAGGCCGTCCGTTGGCACCAGAAGCGACGAAGCGGTGCATCTATTTTGGACGGGCAAATATCCACTTTTTGATATGGGACGAGCTCTGACGTCCCACGGCCCCAGCTTGTCTGGCAAAACAGCCGTTGGGCGTCAGAGTAATCTCGGACTACATATTTACAATTGGGACAAAATCAGTCCAGCGATTTACCCCAAATCCCTCATAATTTACATAAACACACCAACACTACTAGTCACTAGTGCGGAACCATAACTCTAATGGTCCTTGTTGTATTTCTTTATTTTTGCGCAAATTGTCAAAAAATATCTTAAGGACCTACATGTAAGACTTAAAGAGCTACGGTTCCGCAGCTACCCCAACACTAAATAATAAACAGACCTGCCAACTATCCCGATTTATGGGGATATCCGGTATCGGGTCCAATTGCTCCCAATACACGTTCGCACCCCACACATTCGCTCCCTGGGTTCGTTTGCACCCTATTCTTATATGAATAAAAATTCGGGATTTTTAAATGAAATATTTTATTTGGTGATTTGATAATTAATACTGGTTCTCTGTAACTATTTAAACTTTTATATAGGGAGTGTGGCACGCATGGTCATGGATTTTCTTCAAACTTCACACACTTACTAGTCTTGATGAAACAAACAAAAAATGGCAAAATTTTGGTTGCTAAGCATATCGGTTGCCATAGCAACCGATGACCAGTTTTACCTCTTCTGGATATCTATGATTATAAGCTGAAAATGGCTATTTTCAACATAATTTTTCATAATTAATGATTAAAAGAAAGAATTTTTTTATGATTTTATTAAATATATGCATTTTATTAATGTAATTTAATAACTGATATTTTCATATTCATTTTCAATCATAATCACATATACCCCCCTTTTTATGTGGTTTGCATTAGGTAAAAAATACCCTTTTGAGGTCATTTTTGAATGCTCACCATATTTTTTTGCGGACACCTGAGTTAAAGTCAACCATCAATTCATAAATACCATAGTCTTATCTTATCAATGATGCGAAAAAGTAATGGGGAAGTATGTCTCATTTTTTTGTTACCATGGATACAAAATGCTTAGTTTTCATTTTTTCAGAAAAAAAAAATTTGAAAATTTTTGAAAAAAAATGTTTTAAAACCTAATTCTGCAGTCAGAAAAAAATAAATAAATATACAATTTGTAGAAATGATTGTAATCATCAAAATTTGAAACATATTCATACATAATGGTATTATAGTTTTAACTGTGTTGCTATGGAAACAATTTCATAATGATACACAAGTTCAAAACAATTTTGAAAAAGTTTCAGTTAGTTTCTTAAATGTGCACAAAAGTAGGAAAACGAAAACACTTATTAAGTTTCACTGTATACACACATGTGTATATATAAATAATTTTGCTGGTATAGTATATCGATAATGGTGTTACCACTTGAATGAAACAAATACAATTTCTCTAATCTGGATAAAAGTGCTGATTATGAAGAAATTTCAGTCTGTTTTCATGATCATGAAAAGTGTACAAGAAAAACTAAATCTAGAAAAAACAAATAAAATCATTTAAAAAATTATATATTCAATTATGCAATATTTGCCATTGAATGTGTTGCCATGGAAACAAGCAGTCCATTTGAAAAAATACTGATAAGTGCTAATTTTCACAAATTCGTTTAATGAACTTCGATACATGTAGCAAAGAGTGTATACGGTTTTGTAAAAAGAAAAGATCGATTAGTTGTGGTTTGCTTTATGTCCAGTGTCAAACATCTCATGCATATTTCAGAAGAGAACAAAACCAATAAATTTAATAGGAACATTGTAGGTCCTGTGCTAGTCTACTGACCAAAAATTAATTGAAGTCAATAATTTGAAACAATTCAACACAATAAAAAATAGAACCAAAAGAGTCAGACGTTGATCCTCTAAATAAATGATAATTGACCATCTAACATTTCTATAAAGAAAAAAATACCTTTATTATGAGCTGTTTATTTTTCTTATTCATTCTTAAACTCAATGTTGAAATGGCAAAGCATGTACACATGTAGCTATACGTTTTGAATAATATTGTTTTATTGGATGATGAGCACTAGATGAAGATCATTTTTATAAAAGTTATAAAAAATCAAAAAATCAAAAAGGTCCTTGAAATATCACTAGAACTCGGGATCAATTGGACAAGGACAGAAATTTCAATAGATCAACTAGGGAGCCCCTAAAAAAAGGGCGTAACAAGCAAGGGCGGGTACAGTCGGCCGTTGACCCGATGGTCCCTGCTATTCATCCGACACATTTCTTGTCTGACATTCTGGCCGGGGGGGAATTTTCGAGATTTTCCAAAAAGTTCCGTTTCCCTAAGAGGACCCACGAAAAATCGGTCAGCTGATAACTGCTGGTCTTACAACAAGCAGCAGGTGAAAAATATATCATCTAGACAATTGTCATATCAGGGGTACCACTGACTGCCTTAAGAGATGCCCGCTACATTCATGCTTCAGTGATTCCATATGTAATCAACCAAATGTTTCAAATGAAAGGAGGGGGCGGGCCCTCATGGCCCCTTGGATCCGCCTTTGGTAGCACTATATTTACATTAGTAAAAGGCATTGGATTATTGAAATTTGAGAAAATAACAGTAATCTTAATAGATTTTTAGCAGCAAATTAAAAAATATTTATCAATATGATAACTCTTTACACAGGGTAACTTTAAAAGAATTATATGCATGTACATATACTTTGATGTCCACTGAAAGCCCATTACAGAAAGATGTTTCTCAAAATTAGTATATAATTGTCTTTCTTTAAACAAAAAAAAATTAGATTTTACTTTGAAGCAGAAGTCTATGTTTATAACATATTATACATGTGACTTTTTGTCCGCGACTTTTTGTCTGGACTTTTAGTCTGTGACTTTTTGTCTGTGACTTTCTGTCCTACATTCTGACCGTTATCATGACCAGGAAAAATGACTTTATACCTATCTAAATGTAATAGGCTTTGCATCAAATTTATAGAAACACTTAGACTGAACCATTAATTTTATCAAATAAGAAAATATAAAATGCTTTAAAACTTTCGGGAACATTTAAAACAAGACAAGGCTCTGGTAACCCTCAAGTTAAGTCCGCGAATATGTTTACTTATATTTTATGAAAATATTTTAAACTACAAAGATATCGTGCATGCAGGGGCTCGGGCATACCTCAAGTAGTCTGCGAAATGTGTATTTGTTTTTATGAAAATATTAAAAACTGCCAAGATATCCTGCACAAGGCTCGCGCATGCCTTAAGTAGTACGTGAAAATAACTATTTACTGTTAGAAAATATTAAAAAACAAACTATATTGGATTTATTAACTTACATGTATGTATGGCCTACTTCAAACACACCTTTTGAGGTACTTTATATTTGTGATCTAACGTGTCAAATTATAACTGGTAATATACAACATAATTTACAACGCAGTTAAATACAATATACTACTCAATACCATAAAAAGTTTAAATAATTCGGTGCTCGTCATAGTACCCTAAACTGTTTTCCCAGTTTTTTACCATTCAATCCTAATTCTATTTTTTTTTATAAATTTAAAGAAGATCCAATAAGATACAAATAAGTATTAGGTAATACAACGACCAGGACACAGTCAACGTTGGTCAGGTCAAGTTTTTTTTACCAAAAACATATATTTTTCCTGTTTTTTTTTTTAATAATATAAAATAACACAGAAATTTTTTATCGGTCAGGTCATTGCTATTGTTGGTCAGGTTATTGTCAACGTTAGAAAGGTCACGTTATCTGAATATTTTATATTTTTTTCTATATTTTTTTATTAATTTATATATTAGATGATTAAACTTTATTATATTTCAAATTTAACATAAACCCTTTAAGAAATAAAAAAAGTTATTAGCATCTTCATTTGGTCCTGGCATTGTCAACGTTGGCCAGGTCACGTTTAATGAAGATTTAAAAAAGT